AGATATCTCGCAACTCATTTCTCATTTCAGGGGTGATGATCTGATTAGGATGTTTCCCCTCTAGAAGTCTACTTAACAGCTAGTTAGGCCTCCTGTCTTTCCTGCCCGAAGTGTAAGGCCACAAATGTAGGGGTTCCGAGTTTCCCCACTACAATATATACCTATACGTATGTAATAAAAGTTATACAGTCGATAAAACTATATCTTCTTTTCATGCACGTCTTGATGTCCCCCAAGATATTACCGAAACAGGCAACCCCGAGCGCGGCTGAGCGTTTATATGCGAACCTTGGAATAAAGGGCCTTGGTATATCTTATCTGATTCTAAGACCAAGAGTGGAAGAAACATAAAACACCAGGAAGGGTAATATTTGAGCAAGCGCACCACCAGTTCTGTATACACAAATTATCGACCGAAGTACTTGAGCTCCAAGTATCTTGCCGGTAGGTAAGTCAAAGCCGTCACAACAAATGTAAACTCGTTGGCAACATCACCACCGTAATCTCCAATCACGCGGGCAAGGGGACCGATAAACCAAGTCTCATCCATGCCCATGCACCATGCCACAACCCCAAGGGCAAACGCCACGCTCGCGCCAATTCCCAACGGAAGCCTAGCCGGGTCGTTCCATCCTTCGAGATCATAGTTTTCAAAGTTGCCCTTGCGAAAGATATAGTGTTCCTGGAACAGGATAATGGCATAACTTGTGCACCAGTATCCCAGCAGACTCAGGAAATTTTGAAGATATTCGTTCAGCTTTTGGCGACCACCAATTGACAAGGCGATGATACAGGCGAAGCAGAACAATGTCCAAAGAGACCGAGGAATGCGAGCGAAGGGTCGGGCAAGTTGCTGAAAGGAGATGGCGGAACTATAAATGCTGATGACGTTGACGTTGATACCGGACAAAACGAGGAGCGTAAGGAGGAACTTGGCGAATCCGCGAGGATGAAGCATCTCTTGAATGAGATAGCCAATCCCTTTCTCATATGCGGCGGACCAGTCGGGCTTAGTGTTCAAAGCGGACGCGACCATGCAACCAGCGACCATGCCGATCGAGGTGGGAATCGAGATACCAAAGGTTGTCATGAGGAAAATCTTCAAACGACTCGTGTTGGCAGGATATTGAACATAGTAGTCGCTAGCCATTGTGCACCACGAGGCACTGGATCCGTAAACAACGGCCATTAGACTGAGAACGGCACCGGATAAAGTCGAACCGGTCACGGTAGCCGGGGCCGCATTGTCTGCATATTCACCGGTCTCGCCGTAGATGATCAAGAAAATAACCAAAAAGACCATCCAGGCCCATCTCTCGTAAATCAAAATGGCCTTCAACCCGACGCAAGAAATGAATAGGGCCACGACAGCCAAAATAACAATTCCCAGAATCAACGAGACGTGGCCATCGGAGACTGCCGTCAACGCAAGGCCCCCAGTGATACATGCGACAGCAGCCCATCCCATTTGCTGGATACCGTTCAGCAAGGCGACCAGCTTATTAGGCCACCAACCAAAGCTGTACCGACTAACACTGATTTGACGTAAGCCAGTCACAGCGCCAAAGGTTGCACAGAACCCAGTCAGCGATGCAGCCAAGATTGAAACAAATATGGTAATGAGGATCGATTGTTTCATAGTCAGGCCGAATTCCCAGCCGAGGAAGCCAGTCGCAAAGCAGGAGGTGTTCATCGTGCCACTCGCCCACAGAGCCGCCATTGATATCTCCTCCACCCATCGTACCTTTCTTTTATCTTCAGCACGCTTGCGCTCGATGGTATCAGGCTCTATACCGAGTTTCTTATCCAGTCTAGCCTCCAGGGCGCGAATCCTAGCCAGGATACCGGTCTCTTGAGAGGCAGCATCGTCAAGTGAGATCACCTCAGGTGAATTGTATTTTTCAGTTGGGTGTTGGCCTGTTGCAAGGCCTTTCTCCGGATCATAGGCCATGATTTCTGATGGAGTGAGACGCAGCGCTGGGAAAACAAGGGGCGGCACTCTGTGGCCACCTGGGGAATCGGTGCATTTTTATGGCTGGGGAAAAAAGATAAGGCTTGTATGGGAGAAGGTTTGCCAGCTCCACTCCGGCGCTGTTTCCCAATCTGGTAAATAAGTAGTTAGCGGATTCAGTAGGTTACATTGGCCCCATGTACTAACTGGTTAGTTTGAATCTTGGCTTCCTTTCGGTTGATATTTCCTACCCACACACGCCACACGGGCCCCTTAGTTACATATTGCGTGGCGCCACGGGGCTATCTACGGACTCCGCTTATCGAAAAATGTAATAAGAATCGGGTGTAGGATTTCGCGAGTGGTGAATTTATGTGCTATTCTATATACAATACAAGGATTGGCCTATATTCAGGGCTGAGCAGTTCAAAACTTGTAAATATTGGAGTTGTGGATCACGGAAAGAATGGCGTACAACAATATCCATTCTCGTCTGTCAATGGGTCAGTGTCGGAACAGATAGTGTCGGAACAGATAACAAGCCTTGCCCAGAAACTTGGCTCGCCTCGGGAGGCTAATCTCGCCCTATCTGATACTCGTGAAGTCACGTGATATGGCACGAGCAATACGCTCACCCTCTGGAGATCTTTATGGAATATCGTTTATCGCTAGGAAAGGAAATACAAGCTGGAGGCAAGGCCCCGGCGAGATTGATCACCCTGGGTGTGTAGGCGGGCGGAGACTTCGGTGAGAATTGTCACCCCTTCTCGCCCACACTCACCGTAAGTCAAATTCCCCGCCTACTTTAGTGTCTAAGGCACCTCAAGAATTGGCCGCGTAAATTATGGAAACGAAAAACATACCACAGCATGTCTAAGGTGATGGTCACCTAACGCCCACGGTTCGGGCATGGGCGGCTCGCCGCTCTATTCAGGGCACTCCGGGCTGATATTCAGCTCGTATAGCAAAATGTACATTTCCACATTCTAATCGAAAAAGGTATGTGACATTTTTTCCCCTCCGTTCTCATCTCTCTAACCTCGCTTTATAGCTAATAATAAAATCTAGCGGATAGTGCTACCGCGAATAGAATCTAGGTAAGGTTATAAGTGATTTTCGAGTAAGTCTAGCCTCGAGAGTAGAGACGTTTTGGGTACAATAGTGTATATTTTTTGTAACCTAATTTCGCCGGAAAGCACGAGAGAAGATCCACATTACATATTCGAGAAAAAGATCACTATATCTCGAACTATAGAAGGCTAGGGGGCTGATCCGCGAGAATCTATGAAGGGGTAACAGTTTTAAAAGAGGTTCCACTACAATTTCTATTAATTCACATTTTGTAGCGCGTGAAATCGCGCGGCTAGGAGAGAAGAATTGATTTCGAAGCTTCGACACGACATGCTACTTGTTACATGCCAGTTACTTTCCAGGAGAAAAAGAGTGCAATTGGTTCAGCATTCTAAGTAAAGAGAGAGCAAAGAGAAAGAGAAAACAATCCACGATCCTCACTGGGTTTTGTGCCTCGCCTGGCGACAAGCCCTAACCTCGCTTACCATTTGGGAAAAGAACGACTCGACTGGTAAGTACGAGGTCGTGGTTGTACTTCCCGATCAGGTAGGTGCGTAGTCGGTACAAGTTGGTAGATCGTGACACTACTTCACAAATAGAGATAGTTTTTTTTTCACTCGTCAGAGTTTGTGGATGATCGTTTGACAGCACCTTTCTGCAAAGCTCTGTGACTTGAATGTATAGCTCTTCAGTCGCATTCCAATTTCCTGGCCTATGGATATATATGCCATGGTTTCCATACTATCCAACGTGTCTGGGTGCTCAGGTCCAAGCACTTCGTTGCAGGTGTTCATGGCATATCCTCCAACTTCTTCAGCCTCTTCCCAATGACCTCCAGCGAGCATCTAACACTTGGATGCCTATCTCTTCAGACTCCTGCCATCGGCCCTAATGGAGATATATCACTGCTAGCTGGCTCAGGCTCATGAGAATATCGGGATGGGTCTCACCCAGCAAATGCTTGCGGCAGTGTATCAATGGTAATGCCACATCTTCGGCTTCATTCCATCGACCTTGACGATCATATACCTTAATAATCAGAGAGAAAGCAACAAAGGCTTCCTTTACCTCAACTTCCGAATCCATATGATTCAGTCGAACCTCGATGGCACTAGAAAGTATCGTCTCCGCTTCGGCGTAATTCCCTATTTCCTATGCGTAACGTGCAGCGCTTTCAAGTAGTGTTTCCCAAGTCTTCAGTGAATGCTATCCAAAGGGAGGTCTGTCCGTTACAAACTCAGCATGCGGAAAAAGCAACTTGCATTTATCCCAGCTACTATAAACCCCTTTAGGGAAATGTACACAGAGATGTTCAATTGACTTCTCCATCCATACTTTGTGTTCACCACATATATCACCTCATAACCTACATATCATTTAGACACGGATGTACACTTGGGCTTCAAGACTTAAATTGCAGCCACATAGGCCATCCCTTGGCAGTAGAAAAAAATAAAAACATACAACAGTGAGGATTCGCTGGTGGTCACCCACCCAACTACCCCGGACTATTCTTAGCCTCCGAATTTCTAATGCGATTGGTCTGCAATGGTCTGTCACCCCGCAACGTGGTCCTTACGTAGGCGAGGAGCTTATAGGTAACTCACCGGCGTGTGGCTTATACGCAGTCAATAGTCGGGTGGGTGTCGCCCGGGTGAGAAATGGATGAGCGCCCCTTTACGGTCGCGCGACCGGGGGTGAGAAGGGTTAGTGCACTATACAGTACTTTACGCCAAGCGATACATGTACATCGTGTCTCGTTACTGTATGGAGTAGCTAGAACTTCCTATACTTTAGGCTAAAATTGGGCGCCTCTTCAGCTTGTTGCCTGACAAAACGTGGCTTAGACGTTTCACCACCCTCAGCCCCCTTCAGCTGAGTATCGTATCTTTAGATTTGATCCGAACCTTCCCATCCTCTATCCAAAAATTCGACAAATCGCAATTTCTTTGATATTAAAGCGGCCGCGGAGGACATTATGGCTTGTGTAGCATTGTCTCATTCCGGTTCGATACGGGTGCCGCATCCGACAACAGCTCTCCGGGAGGCGTTGATTGAATTCGAAGGTATTCTGACAGAGGAACAAAGGGGACTCTATCAAGTCAGCGCTACGAAACCAGATGTTGCGAGCGTCATCGCATTCGTGGCGGAGATCGACGCCAATAACAACAGCACGACAAGGAGATGTGTGGCACCGAGGTTGTGTACATTTCTGGAGGCGACACAACAGTTCAGTGATGTCGTGGGTACATTTATCAGCTCCAATCCTCAAATCGCCGCCCTAATCTGGGGCGGCGTTAAGATGGCTATATTGACGGCAAGCAATATTACATCTTACTTCGACAAGGTGACAAAAATGATTATGGAGATCGGAAGGTCGTGTCCAACCTATCAACAATTTGGTCAACTTCATCCCGGCTGTATCGGCCTTCAACGTGAGCTATGCGAGTACTATGCAGCCATCGTCCAATTGTGTACCAAGATCATCGAAGTATCAAGACGCCCGCCGATCACGCAAACTTTATCGTCTATTTTCAATCCCTTCGAGTCTGATTTCAAAAGTCCTCTCGATAAACTAAAGCAAGCTACAAAGGACATACAGCTGCAGATATCACTTGCCTCAAAGCAGGCTAACGAGGAAACAAAAAAATTGCTGGAAAACGAGAGCCAAAATAACGCAGCATTCCGAAAGTTGACAAATAAATTCCGAAAAGAAACCCAAAAGGAACACACTGAGGCGCACCAGTGGAGAATCCACATGATGAAGAGGGAAGCTGCAAGCTTGAGATCTAGCATTAGACAAAATCTTTCTACCATCGACTACGTCAAACCCTGGAAGCAAGCTATCCAACAACGCGTGCCCTTCACAGCGGAGTGGTTACTGCAAGAGTTCCTTTTCCATGATTGGCAAGATGACCAAAATACTGCAATTCTCTGGTGCCCAGGCACGATGGGTATGGGAAAGACAGTGCTTATATCTAATGTGGTTGCCCAACTTCATGCCTCACGAAATACCAATGACATTATTTCCTATTACATTTGTCGTGCGGACAACACTGCATCTCTGTCAGCGAGAAACATTATCGGGAGTCTTGCTCGTCAAATATTAGACTCTCAGATCAAACACGCTGAAGATGAAAGTCTACAACGCCTATACGAGGATAGCAATGACCTCAATACGGCTGAAGTAGTTGATTTCGTACTGTCTCGGCTCCACGATGACAATACATACTATCTAGCTATTGATGGACTGGATGAATGTGAACCTGTCGAGATCCGGAAGGTGGCGCAGAGTGTGGCCAAACTTTGTAACATGCGCGTTAAAAACTTCAAAGTTCTCTATACAGGCCGCCCGGAGCTTGAAAACCAATTGTTTGGAGCCATGAAACCCAAATACAAAATCCCGGTGACCGAGACAAAAGTTGACTTGGAGATGGATCGCTATATTGCCGCGGCTATAGGCAACTGCCTAGAAGACAAACAATTGATCTTGGGGGATCCCACGCTCATTGTGAAGATATTTGAAACCCTAAAAAAGGGATCCAACGGAATGTAAGTGATGAAATGATCCAATTCAAGCGACGGGATGAGGGGGTTTCCACCATTTTTATCAATCGAGCTAGGCATGAAGTCCTGGTGAATTCTTTATCATTAGGAGTGAAAGTTGCTGGACTTTTATGTTGCAAGTATCTAGGCTGATCGATAAAGGTTCCTCTGGACGCGTCTTTTCATCGAAGAGCTCTGCGAACAAGGCAGTGACAGTGACATCTTAGATGCATTGAAGCATCCCCCTCGTGGCCTATCTGAAATATTTGACAGAAAACTCAGCCGTGTACGGGAGAGAACCTTGGGAAAAGACGCGTTCAAAATTCTCCAATTTTGTGGTGTGATGAAGCGGCCATTGACAGCGATGGAATACCAGGAGGTTTTAGGTCTTTCCCCTGGACAAACGTCTCTTGACCGAAAAAAGCTCCCCAACGACATGAATAAGGTCATCGGTGATTGTTGTGGTCTAACATTCATCGACGAAGAGGACAGCACTGTGCACTATGTTCATCATAGCGTGAAGAAACACCTTTTTGGCACGAGCTCCCGACACTCGGAGGAATTCAATATGGCGGGACTTGATTGGCATATCGGCGTTCTTTGCATGACCTACCTCGATTTCACTGATTTTAAGCGTCAGTTGACGAAAATTCAGGATGGTTCAAATACTCCTATACGGCCTGTTCAGCTTGGAATGTCCCCCTTCGGCAGTTACAGCAGTATGACTGGTCGAATGGCACTGAGGCTACTTTCTTACCGTGAGAAGTTACAGCATCTCAGCGCTGGGGAGCTAGAGAGGAAGGCCCAACAAATACTTGGTGACAAAGAGTCTTCACGTCTAGAGATGGAACTCCAAAGCCGAGGTTTTCACTTTCTCGAATACGCCCGAAATCACTGGATCAATCACCTCACAAACCCACAGCCTGACCCTGAGGATACGACTTGGTCATTGTTCTGCCGCTGTGTAGAAGGGAATGATATTGTTGCATACAGACCATGGGAGTCAGCGCAGAAGGCCTACGAAGATAGAAACGATGTACCGCAGACGATACAATGGTTGTCAGCATATGGACATTATCACTTGCTTTTGTACTATATAAGGCGTCAGCCTTATATTTTAACAGAGAACATCAAGCGTCATATCCTTCGAAGTTCCATCATCAATGGCCATCATCGTCTCGCCAGGTGTATTATCCAACACGGACGCGATTCTCCTGCTCTCATGCATCATGGATTGTTTTTGGTTTCGAGAGAAGGTTGCAGTGAATTACTACCAAGTCTGCTCCAAGTAGTCGCCGACGTGGATGCACGAGTGTGTGGCCAAACAGCGCTCCAAGCAGCAGCGCAAGGAGGCCATCTTCAGGTGGTAGAGCGACTTCTCGCAGCAACGGCAAATGTCAATGCGCCCGCCGTAGAGGAAAATGGACGAACAGCGCTCCAGGCAGCAGCGGAAGGAGGCCATCTTCAGGTAGTAGAGCGACTTCTCGCCGCAAAGGCTGATGTCAATACGCCTGCTGGAGAGATAAATGGACGAACAGCCCTTCAAGCAGCAGCGCAAGGAGGCCATCTTGAGGTGGTAGAGCGACTTCTCGCAGGAAAGGCGGATATCAATGCGCCGGCTGGATACTATGCTGGACATACAGCCCTTTAAGCAGCAGCGCAAGGAGGCTATCTTCAGGTGGTAGAGCGGCTTCTCGCCGCAAAGGCTGATGTCAATACGCCTACCGCAGAGGGACGAACAGCCCTTCAAGTAGCAGCGGAAGGAGGCCATCTCAAGGTCGTAGACCAACTTCTAGCCGCAAAGGCTGATATCAATACGCCTGCTGGAAGGGGACGAACAGCCCTTCAAGCAGCAGCGCAAGGAGGCCATCTTGAGGTTATAGAGCAACTTCTCGCAGCAAAGGCTGATGTTAATGCGCCGGCTGGATACTACGCTGGACGTACAGCCCTTCAAGCAGCAGCGGAAGGAGGTTATCTTCAGGTAGTAGAGCGACTTCTCGCTGCAAAGGCTGATGTCAATGCGCCTGCTGGAGAGATAAATGGACGAACGGCGCTCCAAGCAGCAGTGGAAGGAGGTTATCTTCAGGTAGTAGAGCGACTTCTCGCCGCAAAGGCTGATGTCAATACGCCTAACAGAGAGGGACGAACAGCCCTCCAAGCAGCAGCGCAAGGAGGCCATCTTGAGGTTATAGAGCAACTTCTCGCAGCAAAGGCTGATATCAATGCGCCTGCTAGATACGGAGGAACAGCGCTCCAAGCAGCAGCGGAAGGAGGCTATCTTGAGGTGGTAGAGCGGCTTCTCGCCGCAAAGGCTGATGTCAATACGCCTAACGGAGAGGGACGAACAGCGCTCCAAGCAGCAGCGGAAGGAGGCCATCTCGAGGTCGTGGAGCGACTTCTCGTAGCAACGGCAAATGTCAATGCGCCTGCTGGATACGAAGGAACAGAGCTCCAAGTAGTAGTACAAAGAAAATCACAGTAGGATCAAGAGAAGGGCCTCGGGGTTTGGATTTATATTTTTTTCGTGGGATGGATGTGACGTGCCAGGTCTTGCAAAGAAGAGTGCATTTAATTCAAGATAAATAAGATAGAGAGAGAGAGGAAGGAAGTAAGTTGCAAAGTAGGAAGCAGCTAGTTGATATAGCTGCCACTTTGCAAACAATGCAGACTTCATCATCTCGCTTAGCTATTCAGCAAACAATCTATCTAGCAAACAATAACAATGCAAACAGCAAGCGAGCAAGTCAACATAAAGCATATGATAGCGATCCATATGGATCGTGACAATGGATATAAGTTCGGAGTTAGCCTATATCACCCTAAGGGTGAGAATTGTCACCCCGTTCTCACCTCTCTCACCCCAGTCTTGAGACTTCTCACCCATATCACCAGCAATCACCCTAGAGTGCCGCTTAGGTACTAAGGGCGAATTTAGTATTGGCTTTGCATAATGTGGCTTAAACGCAGTCAATAGTCGGATGGGTATTGCCTGGTTAAGAAATGGGTGAGCGCCGCTTTACAGTCGCGCGACCAGGGGTGAGAAGGGCTATAGACAGGGTGAGAACGGGCGAGAGCAGGTGAGATTCACCCTCCGTCACGCGACCGATGCACTGGCCCTGCTAGATGAGGTAAAGTAGGACATCATTGGGCCACGCGTATCTGAAACAGTTTAGTCTATTAGCATATGCATACAGGAATGATTTTCGACTGGCCTAAGGGGTTATTCTTGAATGCCTGTTCTGGCAGCTATTGGGCCTCTACTCCGCAGAGTATATTCCAAGAATTTCGAGCACACAACGGGACTACGAAAATGAAGCGACTTAGAAGCAAGCAATACACGATTTTCCTTCGGCTAGATTTCTTTCAAGAAATGGCCATGTTAGACCCTGCAAACTATGTCGGAGGCAGGATTTGTGCCATAGCCGCCGAATATGTTGCTGTGCAAGTATTTCTTGATGAAAAACACGAAGGACCATTTCTTGTGCCCCCAAGTGATACGAACCACTATGCATTAGGGAAAGTTGGGGAACATAATCTTGTCATTCCTGTCTTGCTAGATGGTGAATATTGAACGGCTGCTGCAGCTAGGCGATCTGCCAATCGGATTACGGAGTGTTCGCTAGAAGTGGGTGGATGATTCTCTGTCAAGCAGACAAAGATAACCGTGAGAAAGGACCTGAAAAGAACACAAATAAACCTAGCTGGTCATTATGAGTATTCGAATTCCCGGATCTCACTGTTTCTCCCAAATTTTTCGTTGTCGAGGTCCGTTCCAGTCACAAACTTGTTTTTAAATTTATCAACATCCTTATCGTGTTTATCGTTTTCTAGTTATAGACTTTTCAAGCCTCCAAGTCTCGGAAGAACGGAGTGTATATATATTACTTATATTGGTTCAAATATACCGTTTGTACTTATAGTATCATCAATATCGTTCATTACCTTTATAGAGTAAACGCAAGGATAGTTTGTGAGTGAAAGGGTGATGGCTTCCATGAGCCAAGGCAAAGAAAATGATGAAAACAACGTTAATGATGACAGTGACAGTGATAGACAGGAAGGAGGGGGAGGTGATAGTGACAGTGACAGTGACAGTGGCATGTGGAGTTGCCCGAGTAATCTCTGAAAATTCGTTATATCGTAGTGTTTGAAGTGAAGCACATGCGGTGAGCGCATCATGGCTACCAGTGAGGTATATATTTCGACCACGAGACTGTCTCAAACGCACTCTCCGGCAAACTCCTCAACCCAATCAAATCTTCTGTTAAGATAAACCCTCTGCCAATAGCGTAAATGACACAGAGAAACGAAATCGGAACTAAAGCTCGAATAGGAATTTCCAAGTTTGGGTCCTGCTCAGGATCAATATTTCTCAATCTCGCAGCGATACGACCAATCCATCCATGCCGTTCTCGTTTTTGCTCGAATGAAGCTTGGGCTGTGGTATATGGGAGGTCCGGTTGGAATATGGTTCTGTGGAAGTATAGCGCAAGAAGACCTCCAACCAATGCGTAGGCTAGGGCATCGGCACTAGCAATCCGCCAAAGTAGCCTCTCTGTCTCTGTAGGGAAGTGATAATTCCACGCAATTAAAAAAATAGAACTGAAGAGAAGAATTACTGGGCCACAGATGATTTCGGCCTGGGTATCCACCACTGGTATAAAATGGCTCGGAATGCGATCATACGGGCGTCGTGTAGGTCGAGTAAATAGCGGGATTCGCATAGAGTGCGAGATTTGAATGTAATATCTCCAAAACCGAGAATAAAACCACTCATTACGAGAGATGAAGTCAAGTGGCGTTTCATACCACTTTGACTCTGGGTTTTGGTCGAGCTTTTTGCGAATGATAGCCATAGAGCTCTTGAGCTTTAAAGTGACTGGTCTTTCAATATCCATGGGCTTGTGATACCAGCAGTAGGATGTCACAAGAAAGTTTAAAATAAAGGAAAGCGTGGTAAGCTCGAGAGTGGTGACATGAAGTCCCTGTGCAAAACGAAAGACGCAATTCAAGCAAAACCAGAGGGCTTGGGCTATTGTGATCAATCTACCCGCCACAGTAAGTATAAGAAGCGGAAGAGAAGGCTTGATTGAAGTAAGTTTTTAACTTACCTAGCAAGTCGATCTGATTTGCTTTTATCTTCAATTTCCTCTTTTTTTATACTCGGATAATCAATATATCCCTCTTTGACCAAAATAAAAAGCTGTTTGCCGTTGAGAGGGAATGAAGGCAAGCAATCTATTTCCGGGGGCTCGATTAAAAATCCCCCCATATCGGCGAAGAACGCATGCTTAATCGTCCAATTTTTATACCCGGCGTCGTGGAAATTCTGTTCTGTCAGTTTCTCGTCGCTTGGGGAACAACTTGTAAGTTATCACCTACTCTAATAGAACGGCGGGCGGACGACCACTGTCCTAGAACCAGCAGCAATAGGAACTCAGATCCAAGCAGTGCAATGCAAGCCAGATCGAATTTGTATCGCCATCTCGTAAACGCGCCATCGGATTGCGCAGGTAAATTTGGGGACACGGATGTCCAGCAACAGAGAATAATTGTTAGAACGCAAGTGGATAGAATACCCCACGTCCCTCGTCCATCAGGCTCGTCAACCCAGTCATTTATAGTTGTGCCGTTCATTTTTGATATATAGTTGAACACGATAAGTTAATATTAATAAAATCAAGGGCCATAGCAGATTTAATATAACCACTGAGACCCTCCAGCGTTAGCGCATTTCACAGGGGTGGCTGAGAGGGAAGCTACTGTTTGACTACGCGCCCCTAAAATCGAAAGATATGCAGGTCCTTGGGAGATGCGTAACAGAGTGACTTTGGCGCTCGGTGATTGGTAGCTTTGTCTTCAATCATATTATTCTTCAGTAATATTATTGCCCCGTGGATATTGTGGTAAATCCCTGGGGCTACCGATATAACCGCTCATAAATTGGCCGCCCATTTAAGAGCTTGGTCTATTTATAGAAGTCTTGTTATAGTAAATAACTAGTTATACCGTAAATTATATATATAAGTAATATAACACAGCCACTTCTATAATGATAACGAGCCTAAGAAGATCAAGTATAGTGACTCGGGATTGCGGGACCGATTGTCGTAGTGCTTGGTGGTTCTCGGGGTCTCTCACGGGTTCTCGGGTTTGAGAAATAAAGGGCGCTGGTTGGTAGTGACTGCTTACTCGGCTGCTAGGTATAGATATAAGATCGTCGATGAGGTATTTTTGCTATTGGGTACTTGGAACAGGGCGCAGTACCTGCAGTTACTAGGGAAGCAAGCCACAATGTACTAATTCACAGGCCGTTTACAAAATAAATTACATTAGGAATTGGAAGCGAAGGAGGCAAGGTGATTTGAGTCTTTTTGGCGGCATTCATGGGTTCTAAAAATCCTCATTACATCATGTTCAGTTTCTAATTTGCATTTTCAGCTTCCAGCAATATAATCAGCCGTCTCTCAACCCCCTCAAGGATTTTCCGGACAACTCTGCTCTGGAGCACACCCTCCTCATAACTAACATTGATTACACACTGGCCATCCTTCATGCTTCCAATTGCAAAATACAACATGGGTCCCACCCGTGCCTTCTGCGCTGCCACAGAGAACTCCATACCTTTCAGCTGCCAAGGCCCAGATGATTGGCTTTCTGATTCAACCAAGCTTGACACACAAAAGGTCTTCGTGACAGCGACATCTAAAACATTGTATATTCCCGCCGTGATAGCCTCATCATCTTCCCCCATAGCCGTCAATCCCAAAGCGTTCGCCACTGGAAGTGGTGTGCGATGTGTGAACATCGCAGAATCAAGGTCAGCTTTAGCCTTTTGACTTAGCTGCCATATGAGCGCAATTTGTGTATCGTTAGCTGGGGATGTAGCTCCGGCTCTGCGGTACTTGCCGATCCAGTAATTGGTCTGATGACTGGACACATAGTTGCCCATAGTGTTAGAAAACTCGGCCGGCAGGAAACGCCGTAGGTCAACTGCAAGATACGATAGGCCCATTTTTGCCGTTGGATAAACATCCGATGCAAGTGTCGCGTGAATCAGAGTTAGGATGAGGGTGGTCATTGACGTTTTATGTTCCCTGCAGGCTTTAAGTGATGCTGCGAGTTGTGATGAGCTGAGGCACATCCTTTCAACCTTAGTGACTGGCCGCTGAGCGAGAGGTCCTGGGTTTTCTGTGGAGGGCAAACCCTCTTCGAACTTGACATCGTTGAAGAAGGTATAATTCTTCCGTAGGAAGACCTTGATTAAAAGAGAGGAGAGGTAGCTCAGGATACCAATGAATAGGCTGAACCTCATGCCGAGAAGCCGGAGAAGAGCCATTGACTCAGGCTTCAGCTCATGATTTGGCACATCAAAATCAGTTGGTATGTCTTCCTCTTTCCCACTCTCCTGTTGCTCCCTGGTCACTTTATTGAGTGCAGCGAGTAAGCTGCGGTGGAATATCATCCCTGACCTGCCATCACAGACTGAGTGGTGAAAGATGAATAATATCTTCGAGCCATTAACCACAACTCTCCACATCGGTTTCGTCTTATCTTCGGTATTGAACCAGGTGTCATGCTCCTCCTGCAGCAATCGAGTAGACTGCTCTTTCTCGGCCGCAATATCCACAAATCTGACGCAGTCTTTGAAACAAAGCTTTCTCAGACGTGCCTGCCAAGTCCTTTTTCTCCCCGTCTTCTTCGTCGATGGTTGAGTCACCACGATTGTTGCCAAGACAGGATGTTCCGAAATCACCAGGGGAAGAGCCTTGTACATTATGTCCGGAGTTAGGGGCATATTGTCTGCTCGCTCATATGTCGCACAAACAATTGTGTTTGAAAAGATGCCGAGATCATGATGGATTTTGTACATGCTCTCGATGACGCCTTTCATTGATATCAGTGTTTGTTTAGGTCGAAGAAAATAGGCAACACTAACCTGCAGGACGTATGAGCTCATAACTTTGGACAGCTTGTCCAGATTTCAAGACATCATTTGTTACATTCAGATTGGATTCAGGGTTATCCATGATTAGTTTTTTTTTCTTCTCAAAAACAAAAACCCCAATGTGATGTTGAATAAGAGCAAGTTGCGCTTTTGAATTGGAGTATATGTCACGTGATAATCCGAGCTATAACACACAAAACACACTGACTATTTTATAGACCCACCGGGAACTAAGGCTTTCGCATGAATCAATTATTGGGCAGACTGTATTACATTGAGGGCCTAAGCAAGATGTACCATATAAAATCCAATATCTTCGTTCTATAAGCCGCATATGAAGGTATCGGGTAAATCAGCTGACTGTGCCAGAGATAGTTTAGCGTATCTTGGCATCAAGCAATCAAACAGTGTACCTAGGTGATGACACCGGAACTACTGTACCCCAGCTCACCAAATCACGGGGAGTCTCCACCTCGACTCCTTATACCTTCGTTTGTTGGATACCGTCCAAGCCCTCATGACCCTCTATGACAGACGTTGATGCCTTTCGGGATGCGGAATACATCGCTGACGTGTCCGGCATATCCTATGACGATGCGGAGCCTCCCAGGCCAACAGGCACGCTCAGCAGCCAAAATGCGCATGTGAAGAAAGTCAAGTCGACCGCCAAAGTCGCCTTCATTGATCGATTGCTGCGCGATCTCGACATATTAATTTATTGCCAACTCTCCGCCCTGTATTACATGGAGTAAATCAACCCCAAACCAATGGTCCCACCTTCTCACCGCGGCGAACCCTAACATATGTCTAGCTGCTCGATTGTCCTATTTGCAATACGTGCCATTGTCGAATTGATCTTCTTCACGCCAAAAGCACCCCCCTTCGAACCCACACGCCATCAACCGTTCGTCGGCGCCATCATCGGCAGTAACCTCATCTGCATGCTCTTTCATGCTTTCCTGATCCGTCCCGAAGCTGGCGAGGAAACGCGCGGCTACCTACATGGGGGACTGTTCATCGACTTCATCGGGCAGGCTCCCGTATCTGTTTACTGGCTTCTTTCCTTCGACCTTTTAATCCTCCTAATCGATTTTATCATGCTGGGCTTGATTATCGAGCGGGTGAAGACTAATGGAACACCCGCCCCAGTGGCTGCAACGCCCAATGCAGATACACCCACAGATACAATCACAGATACAAGCCCAGATACAAGCCCAGATGCGGAGTCCCAGTCACAAGATCATGACGCCGAAGAACGTGGTATTTTACGACAAGAGGATGGCGGTGAAACGATTTCCCCCGCTCATGATGGTAACCACATCGACGAAGAGGTTGAAGATGAGCGCACGACGCTCTTGGCCGACCCGGCCGACGCGGAATCTGGAAGTGCTGGTCGGGGCGAGCACCCGATGGATACATTCGCGGCTGGCGAGGCTGTTATTGTCAACATGAGCTTTCTGGGTACAATTCGTGATCAGTGGCGCCACTCAAATGCGGCGGCACGGTCGACATCGGGCTTTGTGCCGTCTCCCGAGACGGCAACGTTCCTTCGGCAGCGCTTTGGTCTCCAGGTTGGGACTGATGGTCGCATTGAGCGTGCGAATGCAATATGATAGAATTATGTGATTGTATATTCCGCAATTTCGGAGAGGGAACAATTAAATATGGGCCCAAGAAAGAACAAGGTCTCTCCTCTTATCCCTTTCGATCAGAGCATGTCTTAGGAATAAGTAGGAGTCTCTAGCAACCTTACCAGGCTCTTCGAAGGGGAGCTAGCTCGTTCTGAGCTTTACGTAGAGTCCTGAATGCTAAATCTCTCTTCATTTTTGGACCCGCAGATTTGGGGCGGCAATGCTGACTTTGAGTCGGCAGCTATCTTCAGATGAGGAGTGCCATTGCAATTCTTGTGGCGGCTTCGGCGGTTATCTTGGCAAGTGACTGAAGGTAGTTGATACCAATATTGTTGGCTCCAGGTGGCCTTCTGATCTTCATACGAGCGTGCATAGGCTACCCGTTTTGTTCTTGGCGGAACACGCCATTTTGGATATTACGAACATGACACTTGGTGGCCATTCCCACCAAGCCGTGCGCTACGTGCTATGGAGGATAAGCTGGCGGCATCGCTAGACCTTGCACCGGGCGGTTCCATTCTGATATACAGGAGACACAGATGTGATGGTTGTCAGGCGAGAGTTACCGAATGATGGTGTCTGGCCTAATCAGAGAAAGGTACTTTTTTGAAGGAAGAGACCTCGGGAGTTGACGGCAGTTGGGGGGAAAGACGGGGGCAGGCTGGCTTAAAAAGCCAACCGGGGGATTGGGCCTAGTCAGTGCTTGTCGCTAGTGTAATGACCAAACAACTAACTAGAGCCTAGGGTTTTGTAGGAAAAGTGCGAGTTCCTCGGTTCATTATTGGCCAACACCTCTTTCCTATGGGCTAAACATTAGAACCTAGCATATACCAGAGCACCATGGATACATTGGGTATGCAATTCACGCAGTAGGAGGCTTAGACTCTTCCCCAGCGCCCTCCTTTCCCTGGACTCTACGGTCCAGAATCTCATCAATAACACCCAGCTCGAGCGCCTCCTTAGCACCCATAAAGTAATCGCGCTCCATAAGCTTCTCAATCTCATCGAGAGACAACTGCTTCTTGCCAGTAAGGTGGCGCTGGTAGATCTCATTGAGCTGCCTGCGCACGCGCAGGATCTCTTTCGCGTGGATAGCGATGTCGGACGCCTGTCCGAAGTAGCCGCCCGAGGGCTGGTGCACCATGATTGAGGAGTGCGGGAGACAGTAGCGCTTGCCTGCTTCGCCGCCGGCAAGAAGGAGAGAGCCCATCGAGGCAGCTTGGCCAACGCAGATTGTGCTCACGGGAGAGGCGATATATGTCATTGTATCGTAGATCGCGAGGCCTGTGAGATCGTTAGTCGGAATAGGTCGGGGATAGCCATGGGGCATTCCACGTACCCGCTGTTACTGAGCCTCCTGGTGAGTTGATGTAAAGGTGGATTGGTTTAGCGGGGTTATCGGCTTCGAGGAAGAGGAGTTGCGCAACTATCGAAGCGGAGAGGGTGTCGTCGACTTCGCCGTTAAGGCAGATGATGCGTTCCTGGAGGGTTGATTAGCACGGGTAGGTTGTAGAGGGAGTGTTTTCCTGGGTTTTTATTACCTTCATCAATCGAGAAAATATATCATCTGCATTGCGCGATACAGGTTAGTATGCTGATCATGATTCGGGTCATATGCAAGCTCCGTCGACGGATGCAATTGCGCAACTTACAAGTGTGCCAGCCACCTCCCTGTTCAATGTAATTAATATATGCGCATCAAGTACCTGCTTGCCATGGATAGTATCAAACATACCACTGTCTCTGTCACGAATGGCGTCGGTGTCCAACTCCGCGGGGGCTGCGCCAGCGAATGTCCTTGGTTCGAGAAGCATCGTGCGAATCCGGCCGGCCGGGTAATAGCAATGGGTGAGGTTTGGACAGATCGCCCTAGCTGGCGCAAAGGTATTCTTGGAGGCATCTTCAAAAATATGCAAAGGCGATTTGTAGTTGTTCCGAGTTGGAAATGCGCGCAGCCGGGAGGCCAGGGACGGTGAACCGTGACGCGATAAGAGCCGCGCTAAGATAACGAGCTCAGGCGAACAACAGCGACAATGCCAGCGGCATACTTCTACTACCCTTTCTCTGGAATAGCATGATTCTGGAAGACAAGCTTGCCCCAGTATCTGAGAAGCTAGTTAGATCTTCTTACCTCCTGTAACGCTATTCGGCAATATCTGTTCGATCAAAACTTCTCCGCAAATAAAGGGCTCCGATTGGCTACTGCAACAGCTCCGAGATCATCTTTTCCGCCCTCAACTGAACTCGACTCACCATCAGCTCTATTCCCCAGCCATCAAAATAATGGAGTGTGTGGGCACGCGCATCCCGTTCGCAAAATGGCGCCTGAGTGCGTTCCGACAACTGGTAGCGACTTCACATGGTCAGGCAGTCAATCGCGGCATCGCGACCTCGCGAAAAACCAACCAACTCAACGAAACTACGTTGGAAACACAGACAGACAATTCGACTCCAGACACCGTTCCTCCTTCACAGCGGCTTCCGCAGTCCCCTCTCATTACACGTCCGCGCTCTGGGATTGAGAAGAATCGCAAGAGACGCCCCACGACACAGGAGGAAGCCGACCTGCTCAAGAACCCATGGGCCTTAATGCTGGCTTCGCCGGCACGTATGTGCTCTGTAACTGGTGCACGACTTCCATCTGCCCTGCTGGGGACTTGGGGGCTTATTAGACAACCAAAGTCAGACGAACTTTATATGATCCCTGTGGGTCTGCTGCAGGACTCGCTGCAAAGCAATAAGACCAAGAAGCTTAGCTCATCATCAGAGCCAACTATTCCAGACCAACAAGAAACCAAACCGATGGCGATACAAGGCCAGGAGAAGGGTCCCTTGATTGCATCACCAATTCCAAAATCCTCAGATAAGCGCACTGGACGCCAGCTCGTGATTCGCATTGCTGAGCTCCTTCCACTTATTCGATCTATTTCAGTGCCACTCTCCACGAAGGGTGGAAAAAGACCAGCCATTATGCGGCTGTTGCCGTTCCGGTGGAAGCATCCCCAGGGGCCTGTGAAGGCGAATGACGAGAAAAGAATCGTCTGGTCGAAGGATACGCCGAAATTAATGTTGCGCAGTATGAGGGATGTCGCTGTGAAGAAGCTGAGTGCAGTCCTCGAGAAATACAAGCGCGTCGACACCTCCAATGGGGTCTGGAAGACCCTGGATCTACCAGAGTACTCGGATGCTGCGCTGAAGGAGGCTCTAGGAAGTGTGGAGTCATTTGAACGTATGGAATGTGGTGCAGTCCTGCTTCTTGGCTCACAGAATCCTGCGGCTGTCGGTCATGGGCCTCAATCGAGTAGCTCTTTGGAC